ATTTGTTCTTACAGCGATTCCCTACATCCACTGTGGAAAATCACCATTTTCAGAGTAGGAAGTTGGGATATACACCTCTGCACTGGTGGCAAAGTAGGGTTTGTTTTTTTTTTTTTAAGTATCGTTACAGACTCCAGCTTTTCCATGCATTTAATGTGCTGAATCAATTTAGGGTTTTTTTTGTTTTTGTTTTTAGTTTTGTTTTTTGTTTTTGTTTTTGTTTTTTTTTTTAATTTTTTTGAACGTTTATTTATTTTTGACAGAGAGAGGGAGACACAGAATCCGAGGCAGGCTCCAGGATCTGAGCTGTCAGCACAGAGCCCGAACTCACGAACCACGAGATCATGACCTGAGCCAAAGTCGGATGCTTAACCAACTGAGCCATCCAGGCGCCCCTTAGATTGTTTATTTTTAATATCTCATGAAAATTCTCAAACATATACCGAAGGTGACATGGTTTTACAGTGAACAGCCACCTGTATATAAAGCTCAGGTTCTGCCGTTGACATTTGACTATACTTTTGTTTCACACATCTCTTCCTTTGTTCTGGTCATCCTTCAGCCCACATTTATTTATGCATTTATCGAGTTTCTTTGACGTCTAATCCACTTTACTTTTATGATGCATTTCAAAGTAGCAAAAAATTACAGTCCTCCATCTGAATATTAACTAGAGTCCAGTATTTATTTACAGCCCCCTTTTTTTTCTTTTGAAGTAACATACACGTCTTGAGACTACCATTCAAGTAGTTTTGACCACTGAATATACCAACTCCTACCAAGATACAGACCGTGATCATCACCCTGAAAGCGCCCATCCCAGGTGTGCCTGCCACCATCTGCCTAATGCAGCTGCTGAATAGTTTTGCCTGTTCTAGAACTTCGTGCAGGTGGAAGCATTTTATGTTTGTTTTGTTTTTTGTAATCCATTGCCCCAGATGTGGCCAGTGGGAGCCTTCACAAGTCAGCTCCTTGTTCTTTGGATGACCTGCATTAGTGTCTGAGTGCCTCTTTGCTTTCTGACGCTGCAGATGACCCCGGCTCACGCAGTTTCTGTGTTAGGTGCAGGCCAACCATTTCTCTGGGGAGCTCTTTTTAGTAAGGTAGACACTGTCGGTCCTACAAAACCCTAAATAAAAGGGTCACAGCCACCTGAAACCATGGTTTAAGTTGTTACTTTTTAAGTTTCTGCATTTGATGTTTTTGTGATGGAGGAGGAGTGTACCGTGAAGAGATAGTCTGTGTAGAGTGAAGCCTCGTCTCCTGGCACCTGGCTGGGCTTGGAAGGAAGGCGATTCTTTACCTTGGATCGCCCACTGGGCCCAGAGGGGCAAGGCATTTGTCTGCCATGCCTGTCACCATTCTAGCGTGGAGGTGCACACTGAGTACTTGTTGAGTAAATAAATCAGGTTTTAAACCTACCAGCCGTCATTGTGAGGTCAATGAGGTTCCAGCATAGGTGTGGCCAGGAGTGGGGGGCATTCGACATGGCCATTTTACCATCAGGCTGTGAGCTCTCTAATGGTCTGCTTCTCGGTTTAGAACTGAGTTTCTGGGAGCGCCTGGGTGGCTCAGTCGGTTAAGTGTTTGACTTTGGCTCAGGTCACGATCTCGAGGTTCCTGAGTTCAGGCCCTGTGTCGGGTTCTGTGCCAACAGCTCAGAGCCGGGAACCTGCTTCTGATTCCGATTCCGATTCTCTCTCTGTCCCTCCCCTGCTCATGCTCTCTTTCTCTCTCTCTCAGAAATCAATAACAGTGCCTGGGTGGCTTAGTCGGTTAAGCATCCGACTTCAGCTCAGGTCATGATCTCGCAGTTTGTGGGGTTGAGCCCCACGTCGGGCTCTGAGCTGTCAGCACAGCCTGACGTGGGGCTCGAACTCACTGAGCCATGTGATCATGACCTGAGCTGAAGTAGGACGCTCAGCTGACTGAGCCACCCAGGTGCTCCGGTTGAATTTTTAGATGACCTTCCATGGCTGTACTTTTGTGGGAGGACTTAAGTACATTCTGCAGTTAAAGAAAACTGTTATGGAAGTTTTCAGACCTCGTAGGTGAATGAATCCAGGCATACCCATCCCCCAGCTTCGACAGCTATCAGCATTTTGCCGTCTTGTTTTATTTTTCTCCCCATCACCACTGTCTGCCTTACTGGAGTATTTTAGGGCGAATATCAGGCATGTACTTTCAACCATGAATTTGTCTTAAATATGTATCTAACATTAGTAAAGCATTCTTTTTGAGCACGACCTTGATACCATTTGTTCCTCACTGAACGAATGATAATTCCTTCATGTAGGATGCACTTCCGACTGTACGTCACTCATCACTTAGCCCCACAGCAGCCTGGCAAACAGAGATCCTGTTGGTAGAGAAAGTTGGTGCCATTTTGAAGGGTCCATGGCGTTTGTGCTGCATGCATGTTTTCCGTAGGTTGACTTGTTGCATGTTTACCCCCCTTCGGAGGTGCAGGGGCCGCATCCAGGTCCAGGGGAGACTTCAGGGCCTGCGGCTAGTGGCTGGGCGGGCAGGGTTTTAAGTCCAGGTCTGTGTGGGAGCTCCCACTTGGTGGTGACTGAGTGATTTACCAAGGGCATCGTGGAAACTGGCCTCCACTCCTCCCCTGCCCCCCAAAGAAGCCCTTGACCCCCACTTGTCCTCTTGCATAGCTCTCATTCCACCCTTCGATTTTATAGTTCCACTTTGAAACCTACAAATTTGCAATTAGATCGTTAGGTAGTCCTGAAGTATTGTGGGAAATTCTTGTTTTGGCCAGTCATGTCCAAGTTTATCCTTGAAGCGTGTGCCTTTCCACAAGGTGGAGACTGCTGCCCTGGCTGGTAACTGGCTTCGATTGAAGGGGCTGGCTGTTTTGTGGTTGGATGGGATGGGTGGATTCATCTGTTGTGTATCATTGTGATGGATTTTCTGTGTTGTTCACTCACTTGGAAGATATCAGTGTGGACCAGACTGTTTGCACAGAGTAGGAATGAGTAGGTTGTCGTCAGCATGTTATTTAGAGCCCCAAATGGTAATTACAGCTACGCCTGTTCTAAAGACTCCTGTTGTGCACTTGAGTTCTCTTGGTCTCTTCAAAATTTAACCCACGGAGGGGGGCACGTGGTGCAGTGGTCACATCCACCTGATGTTTCAGAAGGTTCTTGCCTTTCTGGTTGACAGACACCTTTTGGGGCTCTTAGTCCCCTGCTTTCCTTCCATTTCTTCATGACCCTCAAAGACCAGAGCTCCTTCCCTCTCTTTTCCTTCTCCAAACACCAGGATTTTGCTGAGTATTTGTATTGTTACCATTTATTGGAGGCGTGTTAAGCTTTAATTTTTATATTTGTGAAAAGTGACATACTTTAGGGGTGCCTGGGTGGCTCAGTCAGGTGAGCATCTGACTCTTGATTTTGGTTCAGGTCATGATCTTGCGGTTTGCGGGATCGAGTCCTATGTTGGGCTCCTCGCCGACAGCATGTAGCCAGCTTGGGATTCCCTCTCTGTTTGCCCCCCCATCCCGCTCATGATCTCGCTCTTTTTAATATTTTTGTAATATTTATTTTTCGAGAGAGGAGAGTGTGCTGCCCGCAAGCCAGGGAGAGACAGAGGGAGAGGGAAACCGAGGATCTGAAGTGGGCTCCATGCTGACACCAGAGAGCCTGTTGCGGGGCTCGAACCCATGAACTCTGCAATATCATGACCCGAGCCAAAATCGGGTGCTTAACTGACTGCTCCCCCCCTTTCAAAATAAATAAACATTTAAAAAAAATTGGGCAGGGGCGCCTGGGTGGCTCAGTCGGTTAAGCAGCCGACTTCAGCTCAGGTCACGATCTCGCGGTCCGTGAGTTCGAGCCCCGCGTCGGGCTCTGGGCTGATGGCTCAGAGCCTGGAGCCTGCTTCCGATTCTGTGTCTCCCTCTCTCTCTGCCCCTCCCCCGTTCATGCTCTGTCTCTCTCTGTCTCAAAAAATAAATAAAACGTTAAAAAAAATCGGGCATACTGGGGCACCTAGATGGCTCAGTTGGTTAAGTGTCTGAGTACAGCTCGGATTGGGTCGTGATCTTGCAGTTTGTGGATTTGAGCCCTGCAGTGGGCTCTCTGCTGTCAGCAAGGAGCCAGGTTCGGATCCTCAGTCCCCCATCTCTCTGCCCACCACCCCCACCCCCACCCCTGCTTGTGCACGTGTGCTCCCTTTCTCTCTCTTTCAAAATAAATAAACGAACTTTGACAAAATCTGGCATACTTTACATTAAAAAATAAAAGATGAAAGAAGATGAAATAGAAATCCTCTAGATGTGGGTGGAGTTGGATTCTGAAACCAGCTGTTTTCATTTTTAGGGAATTTTATAATTAGTTTGTGCCTCGGCTTACCAGCGGTTACCTGGAAATAAGGATGTGTCCTGCTGTGTTAACAGGGCCCCTCACGTGGCAGCACCACTGTCTTTCATCCTACTCAGTATCTGACTGCTACAATTCATCCGTGTATGAAATACTTGAAACTAAAATGATTTTCTGATCTTATAGATAGTTGAAATATTGATAACACCAAGGAAATCTGTCACAGTTTGAAAAGATAAGCAAACATTTGATTTCCAGACACTACAGAAAAAAGAAGTAAAAATGGTAAGTTTTTAAAAATTGTAAATGTTATTTCTGTATTCATATTCGAAGATGTAGCATTTCCCTAAAGCATTTGATTCTCCTATTTTTTCATTAGCTTTTTTGAATTATAAAATACTGCTGCACAGTGTAAGAATTCACACACATACGTACATGTATATACGTATATATATAAATGCCTGAAGTGCCCCCTTCCTCTCAGCTGCCTCGAGAATGAACAGCCGTTTTCCTTCAGTTGTCCCTCTCCCCACGCCTTCAGGAGCGTTCCCCTAGGTTTACTTGCACACAAATGACGAAGCTTGATTCTGCGTTGGGCGGCTTGGAAGAGGAGTGGACGCTTGTGTGGTCTCTGCGTTGTTTTTAACTGAGTTTCCACATTTCCAGCGTCCGATGCGAATTTTTGTGAATGATGATCGCCACGTGATGGCAAAGCATTCTTCTGTTTATCCAACCCAAGAGGAACTGGAGGCCGTCCAGAACATGGTGTCCCACACAGAGAGGGCTCTCAAAGCTGTGTCTGACTGGATAGATGAGCAAGAGAAAGGAAGCGGTGAGCACGCCGAGTCTGAGAACGTGGATGTGCCCCCAGAGGACGAGACCAAAGAAGGGGCTGGGTAAGTTTGAGGTTTTGGGGCGGTGGGGATCTTTTGTATAGAGACTGGCCAGCGTAGGGGTGAATGTCTCCTTTTCTAAGAAACTCCAGCCTTTCCGTGGCCTCTGGGTTCTGACTATGCTGAATCCCTCACTGAGCATCCTTCGGTCTGTCCCTCAGGGAGCAGAAAACGGAGCACATGACCAGAACCCTGCGGGGCGTGATGCGTGTTGGCCTCGTGGCAAAGGGCCTGCTGCTCAAGGGGGACTTGGATTTGGAGCTGGTGCTGCTATGTAAGGAGAAGCCCACGACTGCCCTCCTGGACAAGGTGGCCGACAACCTGGCCATCCAGCTCGCTGTGAGTGTGACCGTCTCCACTGGGTGGGGTCAGACTGCGCATGTTGAGGGTGCAGGGCAGGGGAAGAGCGGCCCTTTCGTGCTGTGCACCAAGAGGTGGCTCCAGACCCACCCTTGCACGCGTGGGTGGATGCCACAGAACTCTAAGGCTCTACGGACAGTGCCTGGCTGCATGTGATAGGCCCCGAGCTCTTTCATCTGGGAAAGACTCTGTGTCTGCTGTGCTCCGGGCTGCACTGGGCTGGAACTTTACATCCGGAGCCAATTGAGTCGATGGGTGTCGATGGTTGAATAGAAGGTGCAATTATTAACTCTTCCCCACTGATCCAAAACTGGGCACAAGAACTTTTTAAAAACCAACTTTTGGGGGGCACCTAGGTGGCTCGGTCCGTTAAGCCTCTGACTTTTGATCTCACCTCAGGTCTTGATCTCAGCTCAGAGTGATGAGTTCAAGCCCCACGTTGGGCTCCACGCTGGGTGTGGAGCCTACTTAAAACATAAAACCAGCTTCTTCATCTTGTTACAAAAGTGTTGCATAAATAATTGCTTCTGACATTTCTGGAACATTTACTACACCAGAGCCTAGGCCACATGTGCTGTTTATGTTATTTCTTCGTCCTCGTAACAACCCTTTAAAACAGGACTTTATCATCTGAGTATATTAGAAGATGTGACTGGGATGCAGGGAGCTGAGTAGTTGACCTCAGCATCCCTGGTTGGTGAGTTCTGGGGCTTTAGAACCTCCATGTGCCGCCACCCTATGCTGCCCCCCTGGGACACATTCACCCCACTTAGCAACAGGATAAGCAAAAGAAGCAAGTGAAAAAACTAAGAAATCTCATTCCTTGGGGAAACACCCTGTTCATTTTCATATGTAAACATGCATTTTCTTTGCCTGTGACTGATAATTTGGGATTTCGGATGGTGGTCAGAATTGAAAAGTAGAGCTAGTGCAGTACAGCAGACACTTCTGGAGGCTGTTTCAGGGAAATGAAGCCCGAAACTTTTCTGTTCCAGTGGTAATTCTTAAGTTAATTCTAACTCGCGTCTGTAAAAAGCGTACTCATTGATGAAAATTACATTGTTGTGAATGTTTCTAAAAGAAAGACGCCTTTTGTAAAAAGCCAATCTTTAAAGAAAGGTACAAACAAAGTGTATTTTTACTGACTGAGATTAGTGTTTTCTGACTGGGGCAGTTTGGTCCCCACAGAGGACATTTAGCGAGCTGGAGACCATTTGGGTTGTCCCAGCAGTGGGGCGTGGGGTGCTGCTGGCGTCTGCCGGGTGGAGGAGGCTGGAGACGTCTGCCCAAATGGCCTGCAGTGCAGAGGATGGCCCCACAGCCCAGAATGCTCTGGCCCAGAACGTCCATAGTGCTGAGGTGGAGAAACCCCATTTTAGGTTTTCCAGAGTGCATCTGTCCTCCTCCTCTATGTTTTCCCTAACAGAAATCATAGAAGTTTGAATTCTCTTCATCAGGGCTCATAAACTAGTATAAAGGAGAAAGTGGAAGCCAGGGTGTTGTCATACCCTTTTGTAGATACGTGCATTTGCAGCAAATGTATGCTTTTTTTCTTAACGCATAATGTGACACAAATTCTCTTACTACACAGTTTTTTTCCCCACACTGATGGATGCTCATCTCAGTATGGAAATACGGGTGGTGGATGCCCGCTCTGCTGGGTGTTGTGCTTTCCGTGTGGTGTCCGTGTAAGCCTCCTGCGGCCTCCTGGTGTGGGTCGTGTCACTAAGTCCATGTTAGAAATTAGACACCAACATCTTAATGAGATTAAGTGATGTGCCCAAAGTTACACAACTAGCCAGCGACAAAGTAAAGATTCAATCGTACCCTTGGTCTCCTTGGCCCAGAACCTAAAGCTTTGTTTTGCAAAGCTCCCCGTGAAAGTTTCTCTGCGTAGAGACCTCCGCTCTGGAGTACACAGAAAGTGGCTAAAGACCCAGTCAGTAAGAGGGAGGTCCTGATACCCTAGATGAAGGCACTGCTCTCATGTCACACCCCAAGAAGTTGACATGTGTGCTGTGGTAACCAGCAGAGACAGATACAGCTGTTGATTGCCAGCCTTGAGGAAGAAGTATGTTTTGAAAGTTGCATTTTCTTTTGTAGGCTGTTACAGAAGACAAGTACGAAATACTCCAGTCTGTCGATGATGCTGCGATTGTGATAAAAAACACAAAAGAGCCTCCATTGTCCCTGACCATCCACCTGACCTCCCCTGTTGTCAGAGAAGAAATGGAGAAAGTATTAGCCGGAGGTAGGGAGGCTGAGAAAGGCCAGCAGGACTTTGGAAACTCGGTGTTCCCTCGCCAGCCAAATGTGCTATTCAGTTTTAGACTGCTTTGATAAAAGGATATCGGTGTAGCTTTGACCACCTTTACTCTGAGGTCACACCTCCCGTTCAGTTTCAGTGCTTGGGAGTTTGACAAAACGGTTGCACTAAAAGTGAGTAGCACTTTTCATAGAGGATTGCACCATTTTTATCTTAATCCTTGAATGTTCTCATCAGTGTTAAACTTGGTTTTTCTGTCGAGCGTTCTTTGGCCTTGAAAAAGGGTGTCCCTGGTGATTTTATGGCTTTTAAATTACGGAAGACAACCAGATGGTTTCTGCATGAACATCACGATGGAGTTGTGCAAACAGCTTGTGTTGCAGCAGAACCGAGGGCTTCTTGGTTTGTCCTCTTCCATTGGCTGCTTTTATCAGCTGCCGTGATGGAAATGCAAAGAGTTGATACAGAGTTTTGGATAAAGTTTTCAACAATTGTGTGATTTTCAAACCAAAACCTCAGAGACTTCTAATGCTTTCACCATTCAAAGGCCACCAAGGGCCCCTCACGCGTCTCTTCCATGCGGATGTTTTTTAAGCACAGATCTCACACCGCAGAGTGAAGGTAACAGGCCTTATCCAAATCCCTGACACGCAACTGGCAGCAGTGACAGTGCCCGGTTCTGCTGCAGCAGAGGCTCACACTCTGCGCCCTTGTTGCTATTTGATTACCTTTGGTTCTGATACCTGATTCCAATTATCGATTTAGGGACGCTGGACCTTTGACCAACAGGACTCTCTCTGTCAAGGGCTGGGGCTAGGGCAGTCCCGCCTGGTGGGCGGAGGTGGTCCCCTTTGCTGCAGATGCCTCAGGGGATGGCCGTTGTGGGAAGCAGAGAGGGAGTTCATTTCCACTCCCCCCACCTATTTTGGTTGTTTTTATTTTTGGGTTCTTTTTTTGTTTTTTTTTGTTTTTTTTTTTTGGAGGGAGGGTTGTTTCTTTTTTGTTTTTTGGTGGTTTTTTTGTGTTTTTTTTTTTTTTTGCTTTTGTGTTTTTTTTGCTATTGAAATTTTTAGCATAGCTAATTTATTGGGAGATCATGGGGAGGAAGCAAGGTAATTGTCTATTAGAAGATAGGATCCACCTATCTGTCCCCCTCCCCCATGGGATTATTCCTTTTAGAGTAATTTCCCACTTTTGTTTTTGTTACTGTTTTTTGGTTTTGTTTTTGTTTTTTTGGAGGGGCCTCCGATTTTTATGATCTCCTCAGGGCAGAGTTAAACACACTCTAGCTTCTCCTTCCCTGGTCTAGGGTGGAGAGGACTTGAGATTCTGGGAGCCTCAGCTGCCCTTTAGGAAGCTGCCACATCCCCTTTCCACCTGACAGAAACCCCTTGGTCAAACTGTGCCTTGTCTTCTTATTCCATCCATGAATAGAAACGCTATCAGTCAACGATCCCCCGGACGTTCTGGACAGGCAGAAATGCCTTGCTGCCTTGGCGTCCCTCCGACACGCCAAGTGGTTCCAGGTTTGCATTTTGTTCTTCTATTTGTCTTTTGGTAGAGAATTCCTAAGTTTTAGCTTGGCTAACTTTCACCATAAAGTTTCGGTAACATTGAAGATCGCCGTGCCGCACTTAGTACCTGCAGGCGTGCAGTTGCTAAAGGAGCGCGCACAGACAAATTTGACACCCCCAGAGGAGGCTTGTGACTGAGTAGGTGGGCTGCTGCTGCTTTGTGCCAAGAGTAACCTTGTTCTCGTCCACCTGGTGAAGTTGCCACTGACCACGCACTTGATGGTCTTGAACGTTCACCGTTTACCCTTGACAAAGTAGCGCCTTGAGACTCGTGTTTTTCATGTTTGCCTTGTGTTGAGGGAGGTTCCTTGGTGTAAAGAGCCTGTACTTTGTTCTCTAGGCCAGAGCCAATGGGCTGAAGTCGTGTGTCATTGTCATCCGGGTCCTGAGGGACCTGTGTACCCGCGTGCCCACCTGGGGTCCCCTCAGAGGATGGGTAAGGACCTCGTAGCCGTGGCCATCTGGGGTTCGTGTGCACAGAGACTTTCTCCCATATCCCAGTAGTACGTTATGGTAACTGGGCCCGAGTGGCGCTTCGGGGTGTGGCCGAGGCACCCCTGTGCTAGCCATATATTGAGCGAGCACTTTGTGCCACACCCTGGGTGGGGGATGAGAGCTAGACCAGAACCCCCCCTCCCGCCCCACCCCGTGGTGGGCACAGAGCTTGGCCTAAGGAGAGGGCTGGCCAGGTAGCACTTCCTGTGATATGCTCTACTCCAAGAAGAAGCATTTTTGTAGCTGCTCTTGGAAAGGGGTCAGCAAACTCTGGGGCCCATAAGCCAGTCTGGCCAGCTGCCTGTTTGTCTACAGCCCATAGTTGAGAGTGGGTTTTATATTTTTAAGTGGCTACATAATAAATACAAGCACCTACATAAAGGCCACGTCTTGGCTTCTTGGCTTTTTGGCTTCTACAGTCTGAAAGATTTAACGGTTATCTCTTTAAGGAAAAGTTACCCAGCTGGGCTCTAGTTGTCCTGTCTTTGGTTTAGCCTCAACTTGTGAACTTGGAGTGCTCTGATATCCCCCTCCCCCCCTAAACACACACACAGTGACAGCTCCTCGATACAGGCCGACCACCTTCTGGACAGTGGAGTTAACTGTCCGTCTTGCCTTTCAGCCCCTCGAGCTTCTTTGTGAGAAGTCCATCGGCACAGCCAACAGACCCATGGGTGCCGGCGAGGCCCTGCGGAGAGTGCTGGAGTGCCTGGCGTCGGGCATCGTGATGCCAGGTTGGGGCCTTGTGCTTTGCAAGTTGCAGGGAAAGGACAGGGATTGAGGCCCTGAGGCCACTTCCTGGCGGGTCCCTTGACCGGGTTAGGGCAGCAGCAGCCCCGTGTCCCCCCTAGGACTGAAGCATGTGACTACCCTCTTGCACCATCATATCCAGCCCTGTGCCGGCTCCGCAGCTGTGACTCAGGGCGGATCCGGGGCAGTGGTGACCCACTCCCACGCGAGCTCCTTGCTCTGAGACACGTGGATTATTTCTCTCATGGGCTGGATGCCGAGTGGGTCACCGAGCTCAGCGTGTTTTCCAGAGCTGGGTGTGGATGGGGCGTGGGGGGTAACGCACCTGGTTCCCTCAGCCAACGCAACTCTTCCGAGATGCTAAAAGATAATCCTCTGCATATCTTCCTTGTTTCCTGCCTTCAGATGGTTCTGGCATTTATGACCCTTGTGAAAAAGAAGCCACTGATGCTATTGGGCATCTAGACAGACAGCAACGGGAAGATATCACACAGAGTGCGCAGGTATAGTCATCGCCATTGCCAACGTGAGCCCTTACCCAGTCTGTAATCACTGGCTTCCAGTTCCATTACTGGGTATTTTCAGGGTAGCCACTGGACTCGTAGGCTCAGGTTGGGGATCGAAGGTGAAGGGATCGTGCCTGATACAGGGCGCCCCAATCTGGGCTGCTTCTTTCCCCTGGCGCCACGTGTGCTTGTCGCCTATCCCCTCGGCCTGCTCGAGTGCTGTTTTTGGACACCGAGTTCAGCGGGGAGATGTATTTGCTGTGTGGACTGCTCCAGGGTCCTTCCCTTGCAGGCCCACCACGTGGCTCCGTGTGGCAACCAGTCCCCAGGTTGGGGTCTCCTGTATTCCTGTTGAGGGGGGTGGTCACAGGCTGGCCTTCCCCCACAGCAAGGCTGGGCCCTGACAGGCCTTCCCCTGGCTGTTGGGGGACCCCTTGCTGTTGTAGGGGAGACCCTTAGCAACCCCCTCAGCTCCCACCCCTTCCAGAAGGTATTAGCAAGCGCACACACTTTGGCGAGGAGCACAGGGCGGCTAAGTCAGGTCCTCTTCCCCTTCTCCAGCATGCTCTGCGGCTTGCCGCGTTTGGCCAGCTCCATAAAGTTCTGGGTATGGACCCTCTGCCTTCTAAGATGCCCAAGAAACCAAAGAATGAAAACCCAGTGGACTACACAGGTAAGCATGCCGTGGGGCCTGGGCCCCAGGCTGGGCGGCGGCAGCACGGACTCCTCGCAGAGCACAGGAGGGATTCTCAGCTGTTTCTCTCGTGATTTCTTCCTTCAGTTCAAATCCCCCCCAGCACCACCTATGCCATTACACCCATGAAACGCCCGATGGAGGAAGACGGGGAGGAAAAGTCTCCCAGCAAAAAGAAGAAGAAGATTCAGAAGAAAGGTACCAGCATTCACTTCTAGCCCTTAGTGTATCTTCTATCTGGCTCAATTAAGAGTCATCCCAGAGTGACGAGATGCTCGCTTTGGCTTTAGTTTTCTCAGATGTGATCTTTTCTGAAATGACTAACCGTAACGTAGACGTAGAACGAAAAGTGGGGTGAACGTACTCGGGAACGACACAGATGAGGCCTTGGCCTGTACAGGCGCCTGGGCCGCTGTGCCGTGCCATAGGAGGCCACCAGCAGCGGTTCCTCCTCCCCAGTTGAGCGTTGGCTAATAGTCCAGAATGATGTTGGCGTTCTCTCTCTAGAGGAGAAGGCAGAGCCGCCTCAGGCTATGAATGCTCTCATGAGACTAAACCAGCTGAAGCCAGGACTGCAGTACAAGCTGGTTTCCCAGACTGGTCCAGTCCACGCCCCCATCTTTACCATGTCTGTGGAGGTAGATGGCAACTCATTCGAGGCCTCTGGACCGTCCAAAAAGACTGCCAAGCTTCATGTGGCCGTTAAGGTAAGTGTGGTGAGCAGTGTTGTGCACCGTGTGCTTGTTCTGAGGACAACAGAAGCGCTTCTGTGTGTCGGGCTCCTTCAGAACCATTACACGGTCTCGAAACCCCCAGTGTGGACAGCGTGAGGCTTAGAGAGGGTGCGTGAAAATTGAGAGGAGTCGATTTTTGAATGTGTGCCAAATCATACGTGGAAGAATAGCTTTGTCGTTGTGGCTGACAGAGAGTCCCCAGATGTGGCTGGGCATCAGAGTTTCGTGCTGGAAAGGGAGCGGGATGGCTAGTGGAGAAAACACCCTCTGGGTTGCTGGGCCACCCTAGAAGCTTCTGATTCAGGATCCAGGGGGTGGGGGGAGACCTGCGTGGTTGGCCCTGGTACTAAGCCCTCCCTAACTGGGGGCCCTGCGGGTGTCCCTCCTGCAGGTGTTACAGGACATGGGCCTCCCTACCGGTGCCGAAGGCAGAGACTCCAGCAAGGGGGAGGACTCGGCCGAGGAAACGGAAGCGAAGCCGGCCGTGGTGGCCCCTCCACCTGTGGTGGAAGCTGCTTCGACCCCCAGCGCCACCTTCCCCTCAGATCCCACTGCCGAGGTGAGCACGTGGTGGGTGCCGGAGTGCCCGACAGGATGCAGCAGGCAGTTCTGTGTTCTATGAAACCAGGGTGGTTACTGGTCCTGCTCATTTTCCCCAAAAAGAGTAACTTCCAGTCCAGGAGCCTATACAGGGAGCTGGGCGTGAGCCTTTGAGCCACGACCAAGAGGGCCTTGCTGATGTTGACCCAGTGCCCAGGGCTGCAGTGGGGCAGCCCTGGGTCAAAGTCAAGTCATTCCCCAGAAGTCGGATGCAAGTGGAGGCAGTCCCGTTGCTGGGAGGCCCTCAGATGACTCCCAGAGGCCGGGGGGGGCGAGGGTGGTGAGAGATAGCAGGGGAGATAGCGTGGAGGGCGTCTTTTCATGATTCAGGGGTGGCTGCCTTCCTATACGTGCTGGAAAGCCCTTAGCTGAGTTTTTTGGTTTTCTTTTCTGTTTTCCCTGAGAACGTAAAACAGCAGGGGCCGATCCTGACCAAGCACGGCAAGAACCCTGTTATGGAACTCAATGAGAAGAGGCGTGGCCTCAAGTACGAGCTCATCTCCGAGACTGGGGGCAGCCACGACAAGCGCTTCGTCATGGAGGTGAGCGGCCAGCTCCCCCAGGAGAGTCCCCCTGCCACAGGAGAGGGTGGCGTCGGGCCACACCGACACACGTCTGTTCTTCCCAGGTCGAGGTGGATGGACAGAAGTTTCAGGGTGCTGGCTCAAACAAAAAGGTGGCAAAAGCATATGCTGCTCTCGCTGCACTAGAAAAGCTGTTCCCCGATGCCCCTCTCGCCCTGGAAGCCAACAAGAAGAAGAGAGCCCCCGTGCCTGTGAGAGGTGGACCGAAATTTGCTGCTAAGGTAAGCGGTGCCCCCGTGGTCTCCGGCCGTGGCACGAGCTCACCCGTGGTTGGGGTGTGAGGTGAACGTAACTGGTCTCCGTTCTTTCCCCGTGCAGCCACATAACCCTGGCTTCGGCATGGGAGGCCCCATGCATAATGAAGTGCCCCCGCCCCCCAACCTCCGAGGGCGGGGAAGAGGAGGGAACATCCGAGGTCGAGGGAGAGGGAGAGGATTTGGTGGCGCCAACCATGGAGGCTACATGAACGCCGGTAAGGACTCTCATCCCGTGTCGTCCCCACGGGCCCTGCTTGCTCCTGGGAGCGTGTGGGTCCCCTGGGATCGGGTGACCGGCGGGAGACTCTGGGAGAGGCGGGGGCAGGGCGGCCCCGCCTTCCACCCCGTAACCCTGTCTGTTCCTTTCCAGGCGCCGGATATGGCAGCTATGGGTACGGAGGCAGCTCGGCAACGGCAGGCTACAGTAAGTGTGTGTTTCTCTTTGTCTGCGGTTTGGGGGGAAGCTACAGCGGAGCTCCCACGCCGGAGTTAGGACGGGGCAGCCCACCAGCAGCAGCCGCCTTGAGATTTAAGAGCGGCTCGCACCTTTTCCCAGTGATTAGGGCAGACAGTCCTCAAGCCCCTATTTTGCAAGAGTGTAGTGTGTTCTTTAAATGTTAACACATGTATTTGTGTGACTTGAAAATTTCTTAAAAGTCAGAATTTTAAATTTCTCTGCTTTAAGCCATGCGAAACACCAGTCCTGTGATTATGCTTTTCCTGGCAGTGCACAGCTCTTGTCTTGAGAAGGAGCCTTCACTGGGGGGTTACAGGAGCAGAGAAATCTAAAACATGAATTTCAAATGTGGCGCTCTGTGCCATTTTTCAAAAGAATTCTAATTTTTTTTCTCTGCTCTGTCTCCCCCTTTTGTAGGTGACTTTTTCACAGACTGCTACGGCTATCATGATTTTGGGTCTTCCTAGAGCATCTAAAAGTATTGCACACAAAATCAACTTTTTACTCCAATTTTCTCGAACTCCAAAACCCAAAGTGTCCGTGCTGTGCCCCTGTGCTTCACTGGGTTTCTCAACCGTGGCTTGTCACCGCAGCTTGTCTGAAACTCTTAGCCTGCAGAATTTAAGACAATGGCAGTTTTTATCGTGATTTGCCTTTGAACTTGGTCATATTGAAGTTCACAATAAGTGGAAAACAATTTTCAGAGAATGCATTTTTGTGCAGAATTGCACAGAATTCTAGAGCCAGCGTTGGTCAGCATCAAGGCAAAAGCCCACCTTTGCTTTTTATGGAAAGCATTACTTTATTTAAGAGACAGATAATAATGCATTTTAATCTACCTTTGTCTTAATTTACAGCAGGTTTTGTATGAATTTTTAACATTTTAACAAATTCCCAAATCTGGTTGATGCCTTTGACAGTAATGAAAACGATTTTATCACATCTGAATCCAGAGCAACTGGCTTTTTTTTTTTCCTTTTTTT